TTATCGGAGATCATCACATTTAGTTTAACAAACAAAAAAAGTCTGAATTTTAGTGAAAAAACATCATTTATAGTTATTTTTCAACAATTTACAACCTGAAGCCAAAAAATGTTTGTTTTTTATATTACAACTAATTTATTGTAATTAATTTTCGCTGTAAACGAAAAGAAATATTTGTGATATAAAACCAAGACATGAAATAATCTGCATAAAAAAGGAGAACAGACCCCAACATTTAGCAGATTTGACCTTGATCAGTTAATCTTTAGTCTTTTGGTTTAATTTCTGTCTTCATCCATCATGTATATGTATAAATATAGATGGATATTTATAATAAATATATCGTATTTACAAAAAAGAGCATTATGGGTACGTTATGGAGTCTCAGCAGCCCTCCTTTGGTTAATTTGAACAAAATATTTTTCTTTTTCCAAAAGATATCTGACTTAATTTCCATTACAGCAACCGTTCGTTTTCCTACAGATGGAAAACTGGAAATAAAGCTCACACCTTCTGATGGTTTTCCTCTGGCAGGTCTCACAGACACTCACCTTTATCACGTTCTTCCTCTATTTTTAGCTCCTCACATTCTCCCTCACCGTCTGGGTGATGTTTTCTTTTTAAGGATCAACTCTTACTGTCAACAGAAACCATAATTTCTCTCATTTTACACCAGAGAAAAGGATTAAACCAACTTTTTTATTGTCTTTACCACATTAATCTGTCATTTAAAGTTAATATACACGTTTATATCAAATTAATGAATTAATAAATTGGATTTTGGTTTAAAAACTGTCCTAATGATGAAAGTACATATCACTCAGAAAGAGAAGTAATGTTCAACAAAACGATTATATATAAAAGTATAATTTTACAGACTAAACATTTATCAAAACCCAGTTAAAGAGAGCAAAGTTAGAGTGTCTCTGCCTCCTTTAAACTCATTCTTCAATTACATTAAAAACAAAAAACATGATTTTAGAATCAACATGAGGATTCATAGACACAAAACAAAGTCTTAAGCTTTTTCCATATTACAGAGATTTCTCAGTACATTCTGTCTGTTGTCCTATGAATGTTCACACGTTTCTGATCATTTTATGATCATTTCCTTGTTTTTTGAAAAGCAGAAAATCCTGTTTATTGTAATTAAATTAACACTAATCAAACATATCTGGATTTTTGTATTCCAACCAATATTTTTACACACTTTTTTGTAATTTTCAGCCAGTTTTTGATAAACCAAACAGCAAAAAGATGAATAAATAATAGTAATATTCCCATTTTCTGTGGCTCAGAGTGAACTTTGGATGGATTTTTCTCTCTTATCTGTGGATAAGCCTGAACAGCAGCAGCTGCTGGGACTTTTCCACAGAACCAAACGCTGTTTGTTGATCATAAAACACTTTATTATCTTTATTATCCGCCGCGTGACTCTGTTATTATCACTGTTGGCAGGGAAACAAAGGCTCACATTTACCTCGGTCTGTTTTATGTCTTGTAAGAAAACCTTAAATAAGCAGTACATACACTAAATTTGAAATTTCTAAACTACCTCTTTGAGGTTTGCGTTATAATTGTATTATTCCTTTTAGTCATTTAGTGACAAATTGCTATTGCTATGGTAAATAAAGCAGGAGGTATTTTAGTGTTCAGCCCAATTAAGATCCAGATTTTGGGATTGTGTGCAGATGTTATTACTCAAATTAAATAAAAGCAACAGATTTAAACATGTCTGCCACAAAAAATGAGATTTCATGTTATATTTCTGGAAAATAATAAGTAATTTCTGCTGCTACTCTGAGCAGTTGTGCTAGCTTACGCTTAGCTAGCTTTAGCATTTGTGACAGTAGTTAGCATGTAGCGCTACAGATTAAATTCACGATTCACAAACTTCACCGGAAACTTTTCAGGATCAAGAAAACAAGACGTGAAACTGGACGAACTCAAACTGTCACAGATCTGGAATTTAATGTGACTCCTAACAGAAATGCTACGCTGTTAGCAATCTGAGTTTCAGACGTCTATACAGGACTGTCTCAGAAAATTAGGATATTGTGATAAAGTTCTTTATTTTCTGTAATGCAATTAAAAATCATGAAATGTCATACATTCTGGATTCATTACAAATCAACTGAAATATCACAAGCCTTTTATTGTTTTAATATCGCTGATTATGGCGTACAGCTGAAGAAAACTCCAAAATCCGATATTCTAATATTTTGAGATAGGATATTTGGGTTTCTTCAGCTGTACGCCATAATCAGCGATATTAAAACAATAAAAGGCTTGTGATATTTCAGTTGATTTGTAATGAATCCAGAATGTATGACATTTCATGATTTTTAATTTCATTACAGAAAATAAAGAACTTTATCACAATATTCTAATTTTCTGAGACAGGCCTGTAAATAGTCACAGATTGTTTGGATCAAAGCTCCCTGGTCGGTTTGGGTTTGGTTCCAGTTGAGTAACATTAATTAAAGGAACTTTAGCTTGTGTTGCACAAACGTCCGTTATTGAGCAACATTTCCAGGCAGAGAAACAGAAAACATGACTGTTTAACAGCTTTTTATGGGGAGTTAAAGCAGGAGGAATCCAGATGGGGTTAAAGGTTAAAGGTTAAACTGTCTCCTTCATGGCAGTTTAATTCATTTTTACACTTTCATGTGTTAAGAAGAAGCTGTTTGTCCCTCATAGAGGTCAGTTTTGGGCCTTTTCAGAGGTTTGAGACCGCAAACTAACTTTGTTTGACATTTTATCATTTCAATATTTCCCCTTAAATGAGATCTTAAACACAAATTGGACTTTACATGTGTGATCATGAGCGTTTTTAATCTTTTTTAGTTGTTATCTGCCTCTAAAATCACCAGGAAAGAGTTCAGAAATCTTCTATTTCTGGGGACAGTGTTCAGACTCATATTTTGTTCTAAATTCAGGATATTCATGGATTTGTGGGCAGAGAGAATCCCACAAACGGCTGCAGCCGCTTAGATGGAGCTAATTATGGGTCTGATCAAACTCAGAGCGGGTTAGGGTTAGGGTTAGGGTTAGGGTTAGGGTTAGGGTTAGGGTTAGGGTGGGGGGCCTGTGTTTACTATCTGAGATCCTGCAGAAACAGGAAATTACTCCCCAAAGTTTCACTTTCAGACTCTGGCTATCGTCTTTTTATCGAACAGCTCCATGTGGTCAGAACAGCTTCATTAGCTCTGGATTCCCCATAGAAGGGTTTTAGTTCTTAGAACTGGGCTATAATTACTCACTTTAGCATAGTATGCTACAACTTAAAGTGTAACAAATGTGGAGAATGTAATAAAACGTTTCCCACGTGTGTTGTTTTGCGTGACATTTTATGGATTTCCGTTTTTATTCTAAAATAATTTTTGGTGAACACAAAGAAATCGTGTGAAGAAAAGGATAAAAAAACAAATTGTGCAGTTATCAGGATGCAGATTTACTCAGTCGCACATTTCCCACAACAAGAAGTACAATTTGGAAGTGTTAGAATTGGGCTATAATTACTTACTTTAGCTTAGCATGTTATAACTTAATCCATGTAAATGACTGATTGTCTTATTCCTGTTTAGATGGATATTATTCACTTTATAATTCTACTTTTCGGTTAAACTCTCTGGCTGTGCCTCCTCTTCAGAATCAGAATCAGAATCAGGTTTATTGCCAAGTAGGTTTTTAGCCTTACAGGAATTTGCCTTTTTGGTGTTTGGTGCACAACACTTCAATGAGAAGCAAGGAATGAAATGTAGAAATAAAAATATAGGACAGAAATGATAAAACTGAAAAATACAATCTTTAAGAATATAGATCCTTGCATGTTTGAGGAAGGCTTTATGGTGGGATCCTCCTTCCTCTTCCTCCTCCTCATTTTCCTCTTCCTCCTTCTTCTTCCTCCTCTTCCTCCTCCTCCTCTTCCTCTTCCTCATTTTCCTCTTCCTCCTCTTCCTCATTTTCCTCCTCCTCTTCCTCTTCCTCATTTTCCTCCTCCTCTTCCTCCTCCCCCTTTTCCTCCTACTCCCTTTCCTCTTTTTCCTTCTCTACCTCCTTTCTCTCCTTTTCCTCCTCTTCCTCTTCCTCCTCCTCTCTCTCCTCCCCTCCATATTTACTCCTCCTCCCCTCTATGTTTGGGGGAGGGACCGGACTCCTCCTCTTTCTCCTCCTCTTTCTCCTCCTCTTTCTCTGTTGACAGTTTCAGCTCCTCACTCCTCTGCTGTCAGAGGAGATCCAGCATCAGAGCAGAACCAACAGAACCAACAGAACCGGGACAGAACCGGGACAGAACCGGGACAGAACCGGGACAGAACCGGGACAGAACCGGGACAGAACCGGGACAGAACCGGGACAGAACCGAGACAGAACCGGATCCAAACCGGGACAGAAACAAAACCAAACCGGGACAGAACCAGAGATAGAACCGGGAAAAAAGCCGAACCGGGAGGAGATCCAGGAGAAACTCTGGGACCAAACCGGATCCAAATCAGAACCAAACCGGGACAGAACCAGAACTGAACCGGATCCAAACTGGGACAGAACCAGAACTAAACAGGGCTCCAACAGAACCGGAACCAAACCGGGACAGAACTGAGACAGAACCGGGAGAAACTCTTGGACTTAACTCGGTGACATAAGTTGGAACATAATTTTGGGACCTCTTTGGGGACCAGAACGGGACATATTTCTGGCACCAGACCGGGACCTGTTCGGGGCTCCAGCCCGGGTAGATATTCCGTGCATATTCGGGTATATTCGGTATATTCCGGACATATTTGGTGCATATTCGGGTATATTCGGGTATATTCCGGGTAGATATTCCGGGTATA